GCTCGCACCGTGTGTCTCTCGCTGGTATGTCAAGCATTTGTGCCGTCAACGTGTGTGTGTGGAGAAAGCCTCCCGGGCAACAACACCGCACGCACTAAAGTCAGGTTCCCTGTGGTTTGTATCCACGCGGCGCCTTGAACGGCAGCGGTCAAGTGCAACAACAACAACAACAACAACAACATCATAACAACAACCAGCAGCCGCGGTTTTTACACGGTAATAACCTTCTTCTTCTTCCGCCAGTCACAGACACGAAAACAGGATCCGACCTCCGGACAGAGCCCGCTCCTCAGCGTGTTTGCCCTTTAAACTGCTGCAGCCACTCGGAAAGCTGCAGGTTTATACGCGTTTATAAGGCTTGCATATATATTTGCTCTTATTATTCTCTTTACATACAGATTGGATTGTTTGGTTTTATCGACGTTAACACTGCAACACTTGCTCGCCCAGAGGATATTTCAGGCGGGGCGAAAGTGTCATTCACCAGCAGACAAAGTCAAGAAACATTGTGTATATTTAGCGTTTTAGCTTCTATACTTAAATGTTGCCAACCCTCAAATTGTACTTAATGTTTCTGAGTAAGATTATTATCCTGAAAACCAATTTTGAGGTTGACCATGTCTTAATTTTGTGTAAACTACTCTTTATTATTATGACTCTAAAAATACATTTGAGGGTGACTCTGTCTTATTTCTTCACCTTGAGTAAACTAGTTAAGGTGCTGCAGCTATTTGTGATATTTCATTTTTGTCTTATTTTTACATTCTGAGTAATCTAGTGTTTGTTATTATGACTCATACACATGACTTTACATTTTAACCTGCAATGGCTATTTGTAGTTTTTTGTCAATTTCAGTTGTGGGTGTTGTTATTGCTCTGTTTATACATTTAAAGGTGCTGCGGCTATCTGTATTTTTGATTTCTGTCTTTTCCACCTTCCTGTTAGGTCATGCACTGTAATTACACACCAACAACCCTCCTGTTGTACATTTAAGGAATAAAACACAAAAAAGGGAGCTTTTTTTAAAAAAAAAAGAAAGAACTTGTGTGCTGAGCAAAAAGATAAACATTCAGTTGGCTCCCATGCTGGCTTCCAGGAATCCTCTCCTCCACACCCTCAGCCATGCCTGCCACCACCAAAACCGCCAGGAGACAGACACCTGTTCAGAGAAAAAATGCCCAGAAAGTTATCAGTACCAAGAGGAGAACCTGTAACTCAAATAAACCCCAGGGAGCAGCGACGGAGAGACCCCAGAAAACACCTGCAGAACCGAAGAGGTCCACACCCAGAGCACAGACACAGTCAGGCAAAAGCAACCGCGGAAGAGGAGTCAATGGGCCTGCTGGCCGTGGCCCTGGGAGGTCCCCTGGCAGAGTTAACCATGCCCTGAATAAAACAGGATCTGCAAGGCTTAGACAGCAGAGCAATCTGCCTGACCAATGTGCCGAGTTACAGCACCCCCCAGGGCGAAGGGCATCCCTGCGGGGCACGCGGCTGTCCGCCCCTCCCGGCCAGCCTCCTAAACCTCGCGGAGGGAGGAAGAGCAGGGGGGGCACTGGGAGAGGAGCAGCGTCACAGCAGAGGAGCACAAGAAGCCGGTCCTCAATCACCACCATCAACGATTCAACTCCAGATGAGGATGTTGAGGAAAATTTGAAACCGGACACCTTCGATGTCGATGAAATCCTTCCAGTGTCTCTGAAGACAAATTTTGAAGTTACTGCAAATATCAAAGATCAGGGTCCAGGGGTCAACAACGCAAAAGAGGGCAGCCCTCTTAAAGCAGACTCGCCACTCTGTAACGACACACTGGAGGATTGTGTGCAGGGCAGCTGTGACAGTACTAAAACGCAGCAAGACAAGAAGACTGCCGATGAAGGTGACCTGCTGTGTATGACTGGAGAACCTGTGTGTGATGATGTTGACGGACAGCTGAAAATCTACGATGACGGAGGTAAAGACAGCACCTCCAAGCCCTCTGTGCTAACCAGTATGGGCTCACCAGGGGGGCAGGGTGGCAGCGTTGGAAATGAGTGTGATAATCTTGGCAGCAGTGGTAAGCAAGATGATGCATTTACCATCCAAGAGGAAGGTAACACGTTGGACTTGAAAGAGAACAGGACAGATGAGAAAATGATAGTTGTCACAGAGAGAAAAAAGGAGAAAAGAGAGAGTTTTGAGGCAGATGAAGCCGTCAAGAGGCTAGACGAGACTGTGCAAGAGATGGAGGAGGTCGTTGAGAGGCTGGGGAATGGTGAGGCAGAAGAGAGCGGGGTTAAAGAAAAGGAGAATGATGTATCAGCCAAAGCTACTGACCTCCACCCCAGCACTCCAGCCTCTCAACCTGCAGATCCTCCTTGTTCTAACAAAGGCCCAACAGCAGTGTCAGAACCACCTGCAAGTGTGCTACGAATCTCCAACACAGCTACCTCAAATCCAACCAAAGCCCCCTCGTCCACGTCAGACACCCTTGATTTAGAAGCTCTGAATAAGGGTAAGACAGACATGCAGCCTACCACTTGTGGTGCTAAACCTTACATCCCAGAGTCTTCGGCGGTCCCTGAATCTGCCCTAATGGTTCAGACTGTTCTTGTGAAGAGAAACACGCCGGTTATTATCCATAGTGACTCCCTTAAACCTAGAAGCTTGAGGGATTCGAGTCAGGGGGAACCACATCGACTGCAGAGCCTAGACATCCCTCCTCCTCAGGGAGAAAGACGAGTGTGCACACCAGCAGAGACGAAGACCAAAGATATTGAATCCAATCCAGAGCCATTCGATTGCCGAAGCCACAAAGGAACATCCTTTCTGTCATCGTCGCAGGTACCTCAGTCGGGCATGGGTGCCCTTACGACTGAGTGTGAATCAACCCTTAGCAAGGGTGGCGTTGTGGCAGCTGCGACAGAGCCGGACTCGGTGCCAAAGATCTCAACTCCCCCTCTGGACAGTAGCTCCACCTTGTCCTGCAGCTCGGAAAGCACTCGCTCCTCTTTTTCGTTTGACACCGAATCGGACGCAGGTTACGGAGAGCCCAGCCCCTCTGTTCTACCCACATCGTGGGGGCCAGAGGGGGCCTGCTTGCCCGCCTGGACTGCTCCTAAACCACACAGGAAAGAGAGGAAGAAGCGGAGCAGGTGTGGGACGTGCGAGCCGTGCCTGAGGAAGATCAACTGTGGCCAGTGCAGCTGCTGCCTAAACCGCAGGACCGGCCACCAGATCTGCAAGCTGAGGAAGTGCGTGGAACTGAGGAAAAGGAGAACCTTGTCTCCGCTCACTCTCTCTGCTGCACAGGTGAGGCTTATAGTAAACTGCACCCGTGAATTAGAATTTCAGGAGCAGTCAGAACCTTGGTTGTTTCCCACAAAGGGGCACATTTAGTCAACAGTTTGAGCATGACTACACTGGAGCTTCTTTGTGTGTGTGCAAACAGCTGATCCGAAGCAACTGCGCAATTGTTACTGTCTGACATCATTGCTTTTGAAGTTTTCCCAGTTGTCCAGTGTTAGCAGCGAGTGAGTCAGATTCGAAACAGAAGATTTCACTTTCAGTGAGTTTCTCGGTTGGTTTTAACTGAGGCTGCATACTTCACTTCATGGTGCCTTCCTGTTATATGTTGATATATGTTGTACGAGTGGTGTGATGAAAGGGGAAGTACTTGTGTGTGTGTGTGTGGGTGTGAGTGTGAGTGTGAGTGTGTGTGTGTGTGAGTGTGTGTGTGTGTGTGTGTGAGTGTGTTTGAGTGTGTGTGTGTGAGTGTGTGTGTGTGTGTTTGTGTGTGGAATAGAGATCAGGTATGAATGCACGCGCGGCTCGTCCCCCATGTGAGACGGGAAGGCACTGTCACATGACCGGCAGCAGGTCAGCATGTGTTGAGAGTATGAGTCTGTTTGTGTTAGTGTGCATTTGGAGTGTGGATGGGTTTGGCCATGTAAGCCAATTTGAACCGGATGTTTTTGCTTGGTGGCACTGAATAGCTTTGTGAACACATATTTTACTGAGACAGCCCAGTAGGACAATTAACATCTGTGACCCTGGTTTAGTTTTTTTCAATTTTAAACCTGCTACAGTTCTTTCTGTGAAAAGACAATGTGACAATGTCAGCGTGACTGCATAAAAAAGGGGATGTTTGTAGTGATGAACCCACAGAGAATTATCACATGAATCTGCAGCTTCCCTTGGCTTTAGCTGTTTTACTCACAATGAATTGGTTCACACTCACTTCTCTCAGGCACCAGGTTTCAGAGAAAAAGCTCCATAAACCTCACATAAGGAGAAAAGTAGCAACTAGCTGGTGAACACTCTGGAGCATTCATTTTCGCTGATTCCCGGGCAATAATTAATAGATCTTGATGAAAATATTATTATATTGTGTATTACATATACATATTTAGGGGACAGGTTTCAAGTGCTTGCAATTTGGTGCAGCTTGATTGAATTTAAGTTTTTTTTTTAACGAATTTTAAGTGTTTGGCTTTGGCAGAGGTATGTACTCTACTAAATAGTTTTGTTTACCTGTGCACGGTTTTTGCATCACATTTCATCTTGCATGGAACTATATGAAGAAGTTATGAAGTTATTCAGGTGAGTGGCTAAGTTGCTTAAAGCATGTTATAGACACAACTGTGTCTATAACATACTGCAGCAGGCCAAATAAGATTTTTCAATCATTTTGGTCAGTGGGAATAAGTGTTTCTCATGGCAGCTGCATGGCAACTCGAGCTACATAACCATGGACATGTGTTCACTGGTGTCCATGTGGCTGGGGGAGGTATGTGTTAGCAAGGGTCCATGTGGCTCTGCAGTCTTGCGTGTGCAATTGTGTATGCATCTACTGGCAGAGCGCTCCGAGTGGTAGCAGTGGCAGTAGCAGATTAGGGTTGATTGACCTTTGTGCACTATTTCTGAGCACACGTGGGGGCGAGGAGGGAGAGATCAGGCCGGCCAGAGATTTACAAACATATTATTTGGGATAGCCTGGAATGTGGGTCAGTGTGTGTGTTTGAGAGAGACACATTTACACACAGCACGTGGTTGTTACTTTAGACAGTGTGTTTGTAGGCTGCTGTTAGTTATTTCCTCATTTGTCTTAACTGACATCACGTTGGCCTACGCAAATATGCAGCAATAACATATTTGTGGTTTGAGAACAGGTTTTTTTGTTTGATTCTGTCAGTGTACGTGCAGGGTTGAAGCAGGTGCTGTCAAGACAGATGGTAAGATGCTCTCTGGCAAATCCTCATCTTCATCCTTCGCTTAATTCTGTGATGCAGAACAAGTAGTGCAAGGTTGCCTTTTTTTCTTGTGTTTAAATATATAAATCAAGAAACCATGCTGTCAGTGTATGTGGGTTAACCTTTTGTGTGCTTGTAGTGTGAGTAATACGTTGACATACTTGCAGGCCAGTCTTGCTGATCAAGCTCACACACCCTTCCAACGAATGTTTATATCTCCAGGAGGATTTTTTTTCAAAAAGCTGCAAAGGCCAATGAGGAGTTTACATAGTGGCACATGAGTTCTGTTTCTGGTTTTACCACAGCGAGTGAATGAGCAGCCACACCAAGATGGGTTTGATCATCAAACACATACATTTCAGATTCAGCAGTGTGTGAGTATGTGCAAAGATAAATTCCAAAAACACTCAGAACTGTTTTGATTGTGTCTGTGTGTAAGAAAGTGAATGTCAAACACACTGAGATTGGAGCTTTTCCTTGAAAAATGTCTGGTTTCACTCAGGCTTAAGGCCCACCTCATAGACTGGCCTTGTTTAGGGGCCATGACGACAAGGCTGAGATGTAGACCTGAACACACACAAACACACCAGTTGTAGTGGACATGATACACAAGTATACACTGTATACCCACAAAGAAAGTTCCAGGATTTCTGTATATCCACTTAAATACTGGGTAGAGTTTAACTGCAATAAAATACAAGTTTTGCAAGTGAAGACATTGTTTCACTTCCATTAATAAAATTCATCCTCAATGTTGCGAATCATGGACCTTGGTGTACCACAAATTAGCCTGCTAAAACACACATGCACAAACCCTGACAGTAGCAAAACCTTCTGTGTTTGTCAAGTGTATTTGACTTGACATGTTTAGAGTTCTAGGCTGAATATTTTTTATAGACTCACAATGGTTATGTCAGGATCAAGGCAATGTAATTAACATGTATTTTTAAATCAGTAAAAAGAAAACTCATTAAAACAACAAACAACCATCATCAGTGTTTGAACAATGAGGATGTGACCCGTTGTTGCCTCTCAGTCGATCGGGGCCGGCAGCTCATTTTACTTTTATAACCCCACAAATTCTCAAATATATAATGTAATCAATAAGGGTGCAAGATATTTACAGTTCCCATGTTTTCAATTTCAGTTTGTAAGATTGACGCAGATGACAGGTTACTTCAACTGAAATGCAAAGAGGCATGTAGCTGTTTCAACATAAGAATACAGCTCTTATGAATAAGTCATTAAATATATTTGCATATGTTTTTGATGCAAAAAGTTTAGCACTCACAGGTAGTATTGAACTATTATTTGTGCATGCTGTTGTCTCTTTGACACTGTATTTATCAAGACCTAGTGAGGTGCACTTTAGGTGAGGTTGAGGTGCACCATAATTACATAGCAAAGCTCAGTTCCGTACAACACAACTGCAGGTGCACTCTACTTCTTACAAATAGTCCCCTGCATACTTGTAGTCAGCTCAGCTCAGCTCCTCCTGTGAACTCATTTATCTTCTGCACTTCTTGCTCTCTTACCTTTTTTTCTGCTGCAGTGCGTTTACCAGAGGAGTAGCCAGCTGAGACAACACGTGTATCAGGAAAGAACTTGTGGTTCCCTCAGACAGAGCCCTGGTAGCCAGGACTGGCAGCCTGTAGCACCCAGCAGTGACTGTTTACTTTGGCAGTACAGCAGATATTCTAAGCGGTGTGTGTGTCTGTGATTGATTCATACCTGTGTGTTTCTGTGAAAGGGGGGGTGTTCACTTATATGGCTGCATATATGTCTTTATGTAGCCTGCAGTTGAGACCATCATGCAGCAAAACCCCCCTCATTGTTCTTAAATGGATCCAACTTAATGTAAAGTGAGAGTGATTTGTCCCTTCAGACACTCCTGTCAGCTCTGAACTCCTCTTCCGTCTCTCACACACAAAAGTGGAGGTCGTAAGCGCCCACAGTTGCCATAGTGACCTCATTGTCTTGTGCTGACCTTTGACCTGCCTCGGTTGTCTGATTGAGTATTCTCAGGGTCGTAATGAGGATTAGTGGAGATAACCAACGGACACACTCTTGTGGGTTTAAGGCTCTGAACTTGGTAACCTGCATTTGGGTGATAGGGTTAAACTGTGCAGGTTGTCCTGCTCATGGAGGCTCAGCAGGAATCTGTCTGCCCCAAACGCTTATGTGATTAGAAGTATGTTTCTTCGATCATTACAACAGACACATGAAAATGTAGATGTTCTGTTTTTTGATATTCTCAATGCACTATTTTTACTTTTTTTATGCAGTTGCATTATCACTATGTTATGTTGTGTTTCACTGCAGTGTGAGCGACTTTATCCCAGACAACAAACTCAGCAATGACATTTAACGATCTTGAACATTGATTGATAGTGTGAATTGAAATTATTTCAAGATGCTGTAACAATGTTCTCAAACAAACATACAAATCAAATCATCTTTCACTG